GTTTTAGTGTTTATAGATTTCCTATTGGTTTTTCATGCCCCACTTTGGATTTAAAGCATTTGCCAAACGACCGCCCACAATTTATTTGCTTTGGCGATGTTAAAAAGGTCAATTACAACTTATTGCCGGCTTTTCAAAAACCCATCAAATGCGCGACGTTTGCCGTTACGCTCTCTTGGCTGCCACAGCTGCTATGGGTCTAGTTAGGTCTGGTCGGGTCTGTGGACCATGTCCTATGATCGTACAATTTTGATTAGCAGCAAACGACAGGCGACGTCAACAATTTAATTGCACATTTGCATTAGAGTGGAAAGCAGAAATTCAGTCCAAAGCTGGGCCTGGCATCGGGAGGGGGCCGACCAGAGCTACTGCTGGCAGCTCCTGGCAAGCGGTTTCCATTACAATTGCCAGGCGCAGGCCAGGTTTGATTTCTTAATTGTCGCTAAATGCGGGACTGCCAAACATTGTCTTGAAACGATGTCGTTGCCGTCGCCGTCGACGTCGTCTGGGGCCGCATTATCGTCGATCATTTTGTTTGCAATGAGTTTTTGTGGTTGTTGTTGCTGCTGGGCACACGAAATGAATGTTTGAGCATATACACAGCTGTAAAGGAATTGTTGAACGACGATCATGGTGGTAATTTCAGCAACCACGGGCATAGAAATGGAAATGGGAACGGGAACGGGAACAGGAACGGGTACCGCATGCGCAATTGTCATACCAGTTGCCAGTTGGTGGTGCGGCTGTTGCTGCCATTGTTGTTGCTGCTGTTGCTGCTGCTGCTGGTTGGGGTCGTATTTTAATTGCTTCAATTTTAATTTATTTTTATTTATCTGCCTTTCTGCGGCTCTTGAGCACTTGAGCTAAGCATTTTTGGCATGCTTAGTTGAAATGTTATCGGTCTTTATATATATATATATATTCCCGTCAACCCTCATACGAAATGCTCTCTGTCTGCATGTAATTGAGGTACCTGCATAAGTTGCGCTAGGCCACGCAACTATAGTGGAGAAGGAAAACATGGTATCGCACTGTGTCAAGGGTCAGTTTTTGTGGTGCTGATAGATGTATCGCATGCAGCCAAAGTTTTCCATTTCAGACCCATAAACTATGCTTTAATTATGCGCGCATTCATTTATTTCGTTTCGTGGTTAAGCCTTAGTTCGCACCCACTCTACTCAATGAATAAGTTTCGAATACTTTCACTACTTAAAACACTAAAATAACTTATATTTGGTAATTTTTGGCTCACTTAATTTACATTTAAATATAATTTTCGATTTGGCTTTTAATATTTCGGGGCCTGCCGACAGTTTCTAATCTCTTTTGGCTGCCCGTTGACATCAAAACGCAGTTTTCAAAAGCAGTTTTTTAATCGCCAAACTGTCAGATAAACTTTACATTTTATTTGACAAGCACGCTTGGCATACACAAAAAGCCAAAAACTCTCAAGCAAAATGCGTACAACAAATTTCTTTTCGATAACGTGCACAAATACAACACGAATGCCAGTGGCTGCGACTGTGACTGCGACTTGAAAGCGCAACGCGGCGTATACGCAATGTGACAAGTCGCTCTCATGGCACATTAGTTGAAATTATGACAATTTTCCTAATACAATAATTCAAATTTATTTTTTTGTGGCGGACAGCTATTGGCTCGTTATTATTAATTCAATTTGCTTTCGATTATCAGCAGCTTAGCCATAGATTTCGATTTTTCTATTGGCGCTCTTTCAAATGTTAATGCGCATTTTAGAGAGGCTAATCTATGTGATTTGTGGCTGGCACTGGACTTTTGTTTATTATTGTAATTATAATAATTTTTATGCAAATTTCAAGAGGTTACTTGCGCAAGCGAAGCAGGCTTGTACCCTTTAACAAACGGAGAAAACGGCTATATAAATCGTTGATTTAAAAAAAAAAAATTAAAGTTTTTAAATCTAATTTATAAATGAACTTAAAGAGTATATACAGATAAGTTATATATGTTAATATACATATGTATATATATTTCTTTTAGCTTGCTCTACCTGCCTTTTGGGGCTTGGCATGCGTCTGGGCCATAACTTTAATTGCGTTGCCTTAGACAGGAAATGGCGCGCTGAATTCAACGCAAAAAAAAAAAATAAGAAAATAACACAAATCTGGGACTTAGAATGTAAGATCATTTTGGTCGGCGGATATAAAGTGCTATAATTCATGTGGCGGCAACAACAATTTGATATCAAAGAGTTGTGTTGCCTGCAGATCGCATAAATTATGAATACCGTCGATTGCAGCCAATGGGAGAGTTGTATGGAGTGTATTTTTTTTTTTTTTTTTGGTAAAGGTGTTAGAATCTTTCGGTGTTTCTGTTTTTTGTTTTTGGCTTTTATAAATTTATTGCGCCCTAAACAGACAGATATGCTCGGTGCCATTAGTGATTTATTGTGGGACAACAATCGATTGTGCACCCAAACCTTTGTATGCCTCTCTCTCCCTGCCCACCGTGTAGCTATCTATCTCTCGTTCTCAGAGAGTTTAGCTATATCTTGACATTGAAAACAAAAGCCAAGTGCCGTTGAAAATAGGTTGGCTGTTGTTTGTTTGTTGTTGCTTCTGCTGTTGTTGTTGCCACATTGTTGACTGGCCAAGCGTGTGAATTCTGTTTTCGTTGCAACTTTCAAAGTAAAAAGAGACGCTGCAAATTAAGTCAAGGCTGTAGAATTGCATTACTCATAAAGTCAAGCAGCTATATTGAATTTCATATAGTGGTGAATGCATTAAATTTCATTTGGAAATGCGCACACAAATGTGGGTGAATGTTTGCTCGAATACGATATCAAGGCATCGACTTGCCACATATATATACTCAAAATCGGCAACAAGGCAGCTTTTAATATGTCCCAAACTTATTCGGAATTAAAGCAAGTCCGATAATAGAAATTTCTATAGAAATTTCGCATGAATACAATTTCATTGATAAGCTCGTAGCACACACATACATGGTACATATACATAAACACATACATGCTTCCATATGCCAAACAAAGGATGGCTGAAAATGTTTATCTGACTCAAATTGCGATAAGATAAACAGCACTTGGACAAGCTACATATATTAAGATTAAATACTGAATAACAATCCATTTTATAGAAATTGTAATGCCAACTTTACTTTTATTCACATTTCGTTATATTGCGAGAGTTCTTAACTTTAAGCTTGTCTGAATTGAATCTGGGGCTCTTTAAAAAAATCCCTTTCAGTTCGAAGCAGCTCAAACTCATTATTCACACAAACTGAATTACAGTCGGACTCCTCCGCAGCAAATGCATTAAGCTCATTCTCCTCAATCTGGGCATTCCAAGCCCTGACTACTTCCAGCGCCAACAGATATGTTTCCATTTCAAAAAGCAGTTCATTGTTATTCAAAACAATTGCTTGCTTCAGCTTATATGTCAGGTGTTCCAAATTAAGCTTATTTAGCAGTTCTCTTACTAAACCCACCGGGCTTAGACCCAATGGCAATGGTCCCTCTTTTCGTCTGTATAGGAGTCGCGGGCTGATCTGCACCTTGGCTACACCTTCGGGCACATTATGTAGAGCTGACTCGCTTCTATCAAAGGCTTGGTAAATCACCGCAAGTAGTAGTAATACTTCTAAAGTTCTCATTTCGATTCTAAGCTTCTGTACACAGAGACATCTGAAAACCGACTAAAGTCGAGAAGCTGCTGATAAGTGTGGCGCCAAAGCTTGCATTATCAGATAGCCTCTTGACTTTTTAAAAGCTCGCCTGTTGTTTTGTAGTGAGTGTTCAGATTTTCACGAGCTCAGCTGTGATGTATGCTCATCGAATCTGTATCGTTCCCAACATATACTATAATCACACTTTCAACTTTGTACTTTTAGTATGGTTGAAGAGTTATTGGAATTGTTACTACAAAAATGTGTGAGTGTGTTTTTCTTAATTACCGTTGCAAGTTGCAAGGCTGAAACCAAAAAGTCACCTTTATTAAAATTTTTTTAAATTTATCATAGATTAGAAAATAATTTTCTTTATTTTGGGGTCACAACCTATAGCCCTTAGCAATTCCATTGCGCTTAACTAAAACTTACTGCTTTTTGTGCTGTGATAATACAAACAAGCTGTTTTGGCAATTTAATAAGCTTTGTCTTTGCTTATACTCTCACACTTGTTCACACTCCCTGTCTCGATATTTCTCTCTCTCTCTCTCTCTCTCTCTCTCTCTCTCTCTCTATCTGTCTCCCTCTGTCATTTTATTCCATAATAATTTGATTCCTAATGAATAATAATAATTATAATAAAATTAATATTAAGAGTGATAACAATAATAGAGTCTTCAATAGCTTATACACTTGTTGGATGCCTTAATTATTATTATTGCTTATTTTCCTTTCTGATAATTTGTTATTGCTTGCAGCAATACGAAAGTTGAAGCATCACAAAAAGAAACACAAACATAGATTTTCTAGTCGACAGTGCTTGACTGGAAGATACCCTATATATAAATCTCAAATACACCAATACCAACAAACCTCTTAAATAAGCTTTTAGGTTTCAATTGCAGTATAAAGAGACTTCTGTGCATATATGTATATATATGTTGACAATCTTTTGGGTATATACCCTATATAAGTAGTGTAAATTGTAGTTATAAAGCTAAAAAATATTTCACATACAAAGTTGTGTTGTTGCTTTCAATATAAACAAACTTAGAAGCTTCCAGCTGTGCGCGCTGATTGCCATACGACACGATGCGTTTTCAAATACGTACAACTTGCAACAGAGTTGTAGTTGTTGTTGTTTTTGTTGCTCAAATAGCGCATATGCCGCCTGCTCCATTGGCGTCGTTGTTGTTGTTGCATGGCCTAAACGAAAATAGCAAAGATTGTAAACATTTTTTTTTTCTGGGGGCATACACAAGCAAAGGCTGAAAAACATTGCATTAACAATTTACAATTAATTTTGATTGTTGCTTTCGTTGGTTTCATTACAGATTCGAAGCGTTTCGTTCATGGATTAAGGAGCATTTCGTTTTTACTGCGTGCGACCAGTTGTGTATAGCTTTTGTGTTTTCATCTAATTTCTCTGCTGTTGTGCATAGTGCGCCTTGGGCGCATGTCAATCATACGCAACGTGGTACGTTGTACAAAGCCAATCAATTGAACTAAAGGTGAGTTGGCATTTACTTTAAAATAAAACACATACAATTTCGAACAAGCTTCCACGCAATGCAAAACGCTTGGAAAAGTGAAATAGAAAATCGACAAAAGTGCATTTCATTGTTGTGCTTATTGTTCTTGTTGCTGTAGCCATAAAATGTTCATTGGCATTTTTTACGACATTGAACCTTGAACTGTACCGGCAATCATTCACACCAGGCTACAAATCAGCCGTATGCTATGCTAAAAATTGATAAGCCACATGAGAACTCGATTATGTACTTGAGTGAGAAGCCTCCCTCAAACGTCCCCGCCTCCAGCCTCTCTTTCTCTTGCTTACTCTCTTTCTTAGTCTAGCTTACGCTCTCTCTCTCTCTCTCTCTCTCTTAGTCTAGCTTACTCTCTCTCTCTCTCTCTCTCTCTCTCTGTCTCTCTACGTTTCTCTTTCGTTCTTAACTAAACAATTTTATCTGAACTGTTGCTTTTTTGGCTTCGCTCAACTGCTGTCAATTTGGCTAAAAATAAATTATTACTGCATATAGTATATACAATATGATATCATGCCGCTTCGTTTTTGCCAATTAAAAAACCAGAATATATCTGTGATTGCTGTTGTTGTTTTCTGTAAATTATGAGCAGCGATAATCACACTACGTGGCACTTTTCAGAATTGTTTGCAAGCTTTGAGTTTGGTCTAGTAATTAGCTGGTTGAACGTCGCATACGTAGCTCAAATTTCAAAAACTACATGCACTTTGCACAGATACTAAGCCGGAGCTGGAGCTGGTCGTGCAGGCAGCGGCTGGGTGTGAAAAGATTTATGTGCCTGGCAAGCATCTTGCTGCCGTCGGTGTTGTTGCAGTTATCAATGCGTTGGCCCCACAGCAGCCAACAGGCAACAGCCGCAGCAGGCACAACAGCCACTACCTCCCATCCCGAGCACATGCACATCCCAAGGCAGCTTTAGCTTTAACAGCAACTGCATTGGCAGCCATTCACCCGAACGATTCCAGTTTGTGGCCTCTGCTGTTGGTGGCATCTTGAGACATTTCATTGTATGGCCTTTTATTTATGGTCTGCTCAGCTTTTTATAACTCTTCGATTTATATTGATTTGTAATGCACATAAAAAGGCCATCGCTTTTATATGCAGTTGACCTTGTCCCTGGCTCTGGTCAGGATCAACTGTCTGCTGCTTGTTGTTGCATTATTGTTTATTTTGTTTTGTTTTTGTCGCCATGTAAATGGTCATAGTTACAAAACACCGAAGGTCAGCAGCCAAAGCTTAAACAAAAACTATGCAAAATCCAGCAGCCGTCAGTTTGCAGCCCGAAAACAGCGCGACGCGTCGGCTCACATTACCAAGCGCGTCAACAACAAGTGCAACGTGGCATTGTTGTTGCCGTTGTTTTTTCTGTTGCTTGTTTATGTCTGCAACACGTCAAAAACGACGGCTTGGACCGTCCAGGTGCAGCCCATGCCCAGCCGGGTGACATAACTCGAACTCACATGGCGAGAGCTGTGCATATGTGCATTTTTGCATACCCTAAGCTAGGGTATCATACCTTTAACATGGGTTTTGTTATGCGGAGAAGTCAAAATCTTGAGATCCGTTTTAAATTCTTGCAGCCTGAGCCAGCTGTGGGTCTATGAACAATTAGCTATACAAATTATTTTGTTCTTTTTGGGCAGGGTATATGCCGCCTAATATTGCATAGTTGAGCTGTCCTACCTTTTGCCTCGAGGCATGCCACCTACCAGTAACCCAAATGACAGGCCTGGACATGCCACAGATAACTTCATGGCCCAAAATGGAGAGCAAAACACTTGTGCATGCAAATATTTTACAAATTTTTGTTGTTGGCAGAATTTGTTAGAAAATTGGCAACAGCCAAAAGCCACAGCAACGAAAAACTGCGCACATGACAATGTGTAAATTTATGACAGTGTTTATTGTTGTTGTTGGCGTTGTCGTTGCAGCATGTTGCATAAGTTTGCTTTTTGCCTGGCTTTTATGCGCACCGCAAATAGCAAAATATTTGCTTTATTAATTAGGCAACGCTGCAATTGCATGCAATGTTTATTAATAATATTTGTTTATGCCATGAATATTTCAATAATATTTGGCAATGCAGCTTTTAAGCTCGCTTCATGATTAAAACTTATGCACTTAGCCAGATGTCAACAAAGCGGGTAAACAATTTGAAAGACAAAGAGATCACAAGCAACACGTGTGGACTGCATTTATGATTAATGGAAAAGAGGCGGAAGCCGATCAACTGTCGGGTGCATCGGGCTACGGGGACGAGTAGTATGATAAGTTTGTTTTGTTATGGTTATAAATTATTGTTTGCTCGATTGCGATTTCGATGGCGATTGCGTAAATGCCAGCGGCAAAAGGCCAATAACCGTTTAAAGAGAACTGGTTCCGGTTCCAGGTAATGGCTAACTAGTTCATCGATTGAACGATTGCAAAAGCTGCTTCCAAGAACCAAAAACAGCTTGTAAAATCTATCAGCAAATTGAATTTCAATTAAAATGCCCGTGTTGTGCGTATGCAAGTGTGTTTGTGTGTCTGTGTGTGTGGGTGGAATCAGCTCACATACATATGTGCATACAGATATGGGTCAGAGTTAGTTATTAGCGGTTCAGTTAATGCCATGACCATGCACTTTCCGGAGATTTTTCATTGAAAATTTAGGCAAAGGCCGCACTGTTTGCTGATTAAAGGCGCATTGCCTTAATGCCGAGGCTTTCACCGGCATGTGGGTCACCTTTCGCCGGCGAGAATTCCCATTCTGGCAACGGCACCACCACACAGATCTAAGAAAACGCGCTGCTCCTAATGAACTTGTTCTCGCAGCCAATGGGTAGCAAAGTTTCCCAACTTGTTTTGTGTTGTAGGTGTTTGACCCTCAGTCAACGATTTTTGTTGTTTTTAGTTATGTAAATTTCGGTCGACACCGAAATTCTTTTTCAATTAGCTCAATTCGGGGTTTTTTTTCCCTGTGAAGCGCAATCAATTCAAATTTAAATACATTAATCAATTCCCACAGCAAACATTTGTTTTATTTTTTTTTTTCTTCTGGTACGAGTTAGATCGCGAAAAAACCAAACAAAAATGAATAGAAAACAGCGACAATTTAATTATAACAACAAACAGCAGCAGCATCAGCGACGGCTACACGAGTGTATCTGAAATTGATATCGTGACTTTGGGTAATTTGTAATTTACGATGAGATCACTTCCTCCAACAATGTATCAGCTTGGCCAGCTCGGCCGGCCAATCGCTCGTCTCATTCTCTCATTTCTATTTTCCTTCTGTCCCATGAGCATGCCCCAAAACATACGTCAATTCGTCGCCGAGGCGCAACAGAGCGGAGCGCCGGGCAGAGCTATCGGTATCTAGCTCTATGCCTGTGTGACAAGATAAGCCGCAAAGTCGTCGGCTTTGTGGCAGCTATGGCAGAAACCCCATAGCCAGATCCAGAGTCCAAGCTGCAGATCTCTGCAGTGCAATGTTTCAGTTTCTGTGTTTCTGTTTCTGTTTTTGGCTTGTGCCTGCTTCCAGTGCTGTTGCCGTCACTTGGCTGCTGCTGACTGACAACAGCGTCCTGCGCATCAGCATCTTTGTATCTGGGCATCAATGGCAAACGGCGCAAAAAGTTCAAGTGGCCCGAGACAACGAAAAATTTGCATTCGTACTCGCATTCACAGACGCAATCGCATTTAAAAGCCATTGCCATTGGCATAGGAATTGGCTGGAGCCGTAGAGTCCATGAGTCCATAAGTCCATGGCTCTCGGATGTTGGCTTTAGGCTGTTGCTTGGCGTGCTTTGTCTTGTGCCGGGCTTTTCAAATCGCATAAATTAGATTTGGCATTCGGCTTTTGCAGCTCACTAATAAATTCAGAATGCGCAATTGAAATGAAAGCAGCAGGCGCATAAAATGTAAATCAAATGATTTTCTTCTGATTGGCCATGCATTTAAATCTCAGCTCCGCTTTTGCTCAGTCGGCTTGCATCCGATTGCATTCGCAATCAAACAAATTATGTGGGGGGCACTCTCATGTGACCAATTATTTCATGTGAGTAGAGATTGGAGCCAAATGCTAATGGAAAAGTTGGGGTAATGCTGAAAACCTTATAAAAAGTATAGGATAGAACATATTTAAAATATTCTTAGAAAATTGTGTAACCTACTTACTAAAACGGCAAAGAGAACTTATGCTTCTGACTATTTATGTTAAAAAAAATTGTAAGCTATCAAAATATATTGTATAAAACATATACGTTCTTGAATACTCTAATTTTGTAAGTACATATGATTACTTCTATTATATCTAGTGAGTACTAAAGAGTATTTATTTATATGTGCTCCTATATATGTATCTAAAGAGCGCAAAAACAAACTTTCTGCAAACTAGTCATTTTATTCTCAGCTCTAATTTAACTCATACAAGCAATTAAAGAACACATATATAGATTTCAATGTTATGTTAAAATTACTTCTAAATTCCAGCATGGTTACTGAAGTATTTAATATAGTCTTTTATTTATATATACATTTCGTTTTGCCTAGCGTGTGTTCTACCGAGTTCTATCTCTGGAATTTATCTTTTCTTCTCACAGTTCTTTATATATTCTCATTTTCATTCCTAACGTATATATCTAAGCTCAAGCTATGATCAAGATTCAAGGCAATTTTAATCTAAAGCTGACCCATTTGCGCTTGATTTTTAGTTTGAAATATGCCTAGTCCTTGACCTTAGCATTAATTGTGGTAGCCTAAGTCACGTCCGCCTTTTATGGCTACCGCTCTTAAAATATATTATTATACTGTTAAAGTGAGCTCATTAAGTTGTAACAAGCGCTACGCGGCAGCCTTTTATCTTAGTTTCAGCTCATTTTCTGTTTTAACGTGCGTTTTTTTGAACTCATCAAAGTTGAGGGAATGTCGAAAGCATTTATCGTTTATTTTATTTTCTATTTTTGGCAAACGCTGAACAAGTT